GTCTAAACAAATATCGATTTTTAATTTGCTGGTTAAAATCGTAAGATAGACTTCATTCATAATGCATATTTAGATAGCGATGATAAATTTTTTCATAAATCAAAGAATTTAAATTGATATCATCATAAAAATTACAGAGAATAATAAAATAACAAATAGATTTGTATATTCAAAAATCACTTTATAACTCAACACATGGTTCAAAAACATAAGTGCGGATAATATCAAAATCACATCAAAATTAATTAGTGATCTAAACATTAATGTTGATACCTCGAAAGGGATGATTGAATGGGTGGAGTGTGATTTATGTACTAGAATATCATGAATTTGATTCTTGTTGATACCGTCTCAGTCCAACTCATCGCACAAGTCTTTATAATGCAATTTATCTCTTGTGTTTAGTTTGCGGACTATCACACAGAAGCAATATTTACCAAGTGCACATTCTCAGATAATAACTGCAAATTTCTCTCATCAACCAAAAAATAACATTAATGTTGATTGCTGATGTGACTGAATTACTTGGATATTTTGTAAGTTGTTATAACTTATAATGTAGATGTTTGACCCCCCCTAAAAAAAAAAAAAAAAAAAAAAAAAAAAAACATTACTACTAGACATAACTGTAGTTTCGGTTCCAAATCATAGTTATTGACTGGTAACTATTTCTTTGATTTACATGACTTAAAAACTATTTTGAACCGTGAATTGTCGGTTTGGAACCAAATCCAAATCGCGGTCTTCACTAATTGATACATAACTACGGTTAGAAATTCATAATATTATAAACCCTGCATCGCTCCATGGTACCAACTTTAAAGTATAAATCCTTAATTTATATGGAGTAACCACATACATAATCACATATCAAAATTTATAAGTTTAAAGCTTAAATTTGAACATCCCTTACTGCTTCTACCTTAAAGACGGGTAGATAAATAAATCGTGGAATGTGTTTCAATTATTTTATAGATCTCCAAATACTCGTACATTAGAACTCACTACAAAGTCAAATTCGAACAATGCACCTTGTACCCGTGGACGGCTAGAAAAGTAAAATTTCTCAACGTATTTTAATCGGTTAACTAGTTAAGGCAAATTATACCAGAGTTCACATTGCATTGTGGACTCTTGTCCAAAATGATATTAAGATTATATATGTGACGGCAGTTAACATATTATATACATTCAGCTAACAGATTATACATATATGAATAAATTGAATGTACATACATAATATGTTAACTGCAAGCACATATATAATATGTTAATTGTAGTAAATATCAATACGAAAGCATCAGTTTCCAGTTTCATTTTTTCTATTGAAACATAAAAAGCCAATAATGCCTACACTGAGGCTCAAACTCACAAACTTCCAAATAGAAATCCAACTCGGGTACCATTAAACCACATAATCTTGATCAACATACTAGTTAGTTTAATTATAGTAATGTTGAAGTATTATTTTAATTACATTTTATATTCATTTGACAATAAATGTTATTGTATGACTTTTGATTTTAGTTTCATTATAGCAACACTAAATTAAAGTATCATTTTAATTATACTACAGTTTCATTTGACAATATACGTTATTGAATGAGTTCTGTTTTTTAGTTTCATTTTTTACACACTAGTTTCATTATAATAATACTAAAGTAGTATTTTAATTCTGCTATAGTTTCATTTGACGATCATAGTCCACACAATACTATATACACAATGGTTCATTGTATAACAATTGGTTTTAGATCAAAGTTAATAATGTAAGGTAGACTCACTCTTGTCTATAATATAACAATGACCGGTTAAGCTTTGGGCCGAGTACACATGTCAAAATTCATGATATTATTAAATAAAAATAAATTTAAGAAAATTAAAGAAAACCGACCTAAGGGGCAATTTATATCCTACACCACGGCGCGTGTTGTACTGTGCGTCCAGATTCAAAACGACGTCGTTTTAAATTTATTTATTTATTTTTTTTATTTTTTGAAATTTCCCGCCCCAGTGAATGACAGTAATTTTTTTTAAAAAAAAAAACCGTTGTTCAAAAATGTACATAATGTTATACTAGAATACACATAATTGTATACATGAATGTACATAATTATATAACAAAATATACATACTCTTTTTAAAAGATAATACACATAATCTAACATAATACATAATAAACATAAACTTTTAACATAATACACATCAACTCTTAACATAATACACACAAATTTTCTGATTCGGATGTACATAATTGTATAAAAAAGAATGTACATAATTGTATAAAAAATGTACATAACTGTATGAACAAATACACATAATTGTGTGAACAAATACACATAATCACAACAACTTCCTGCCGCGCCTCCCAAAACGACCCCAAAACGACGTCGTTTTGGGAGGCGCGCGGCGCATAGTGCTACGCGCGCCATGGTGTAGGGTATAACGATTGGACCTAAGGTGTTAAGCAACAACTGTACAAGAAGCCCAATTCAGTAGTGAAGATCTCGACCCATTTTACTTTGGGCCATGCAGAACAATAGACTGCACATTTCAATTGGAGCAAACGGGTTGGACTCGACCCGTATATTGTAAAGTGAATCCGGGTCTACATAATAATTTGTCAACAATTATATTGTGGACTATGGTCCAAAAACGACGTTGTTTCTTTAAGTAAAAAAAGACAGTCGTACTTTGGGCCAAGCAGAACAATAGACTGCACATTTCAATTGGAGCAAACGGGTTGGACTCGACCCGTATATTGTAAAGTGAATCCGGGCCTACATAATAATTTGTCAGCAATTATATTGTGGACTATGGTCCAAAAACGACGTTGTTTCTTTAAGTAAAAAAAACGGCAGTCGTTAAAGATTAATAGAGTACATATTTTTGGTGTGTTAATTACCAATGAAATTACAGTGTATTTAAAATGACACTGCATCACGTATTATTTTTATATTATCAAATGAAACTGCAATTGAATTGAAATAAAACTGTAATTGTGTTGAAATGAAACAGCAGTGTATACAAACTGAAACTGTAGTTGTGTTGAAATGAAACAGCAGTGTATACAAAATGAAACTGAATATGTTATACAATCAAAGTTACTTTTGCGGACGGCGCGAAAACATATACCGTTTCTTTTCATTAAAAGAAACGACGTCGATTTGATTCTTGGACCACAATACATTGTGGACCGCGGTCCACAGTATAATTTGCCCTAACTGAAGGCAATTTATATCATGCACCACGACGCACATAGCAATGTGCACCCAGGCACAAAACACGCACGTTTCAATTATGTGTATTCAGTTAAAAGTTTCTGCGTATTGTGTTATGAGTTTCTGTGTATTCAGTTAAGAGTTTCTGTGTATTCACTATTCGGTTAAGAGTTCTATGTATTCAGTTAAGAATTTATGTGTATTCAGTTAAGCGTTTCTGTGTATTCAGTTAAGAGTTTCTGTGTATTATGTGTCGTGTTAGATTATGTGTATTCAGTTATGAGTTTTTGTGTATTATGTTATGAGTTTATGTGTATTCGAAACAGATAATTTATTTATTTTTAGACAATGCATCAAAACGACGTCGTTTTGGATAGGGCGGGGCGCACAATCCATTGTGCGCCCTGGTGCACGATATAACGACTGCTAACTGAAGGCAAATTATATTATGCACCGCGCGTCTTTTTTTTTTAAATGAAAATAAACAGTGTTTGTTTTCCGCCGTTTCGCACCCTTTTGCAAAAAGTAACCCTGTTCTTCAGTGTCATTTTGTACACACTGCAGTTTCAGTTCAACACAACTACAGTTTCATTTCGATATAACTATAGTTTCATTTGATATTTATAGACTCAAATATGTGAAAATGTTATTTAATTTTATTTTATATACACTATAGTTTCATTAAAACACAACTACATGATCATTTTGATATAATTACAGCTTCATTGTACAATATACACTCAAATATGTGAAATGTTATTCAGTTTCATTTTATATACACTGCAGTTTCATTTCACTATAACTACAGTATCATTTTGATATAACTGCAGTGTCGGTTTAGATATACTGTAGTGTCAGTTGATGTTTAATACACCAAACAAGCGGACTCCGTTAACTATAACGGCGGGCCATTTCTTTACTTAAAGAAACGGCGCCGTTTTTTACCGCGGTGCACATGCACCGCGGTCTTTGATATCAATAGTTATGCTGTGCAACCAAATGTACCATGCGCATGGTGCATACGATGCAAAATGACGTCGTTTTGATTAAAAACGCGCGTCCCACTTAAAAAAAAATCAGGTTCGATTCTCGGCAATAGCATTATTGTGGATATATAGTTATGAATTTCTGGATATATAGTTATAAATTTGTGGATATATAGTTATGAATTTATGGATATTTAGTTCATTCATTGTGGATATTTAGTTCATTCATTGTAGATATTTACTTCATTCATTCACTATGGATATATAGTTATGAATTTATGGATATATAGTTATGAATTTCTGGATATATAGTTATGAATTTATGGATATTTAGTTCATTCATTGTGGATATTTAGTTCATTCATTCATTCATTGTGGATTTTTACTTCATTCATTCATTGTGAATATTTACTTCATTCATTCATTCATTGTGGATTTTTACTTCATTCATTTATTCATTGTGAATTTTTATTTCATTCATTCACTGTGGATATATAGTTATGAATTTGTGGATATATAGTTATGAATTTCTGGATATATAAAAATGCTATTGCCGGGAATCGAACCTGATTTCTTCTTTAAGTGGGACGCGCGTTTTTTTAATCAAAACGGCACTGTTTTGCAACCGTATGCACCTTGCAAGGTGCATTCGGTTGCACAGCATAATTTGCGCTATGATATAACGACTGCTAACTGAATGATTGGGCCGTTTGAAGTAAATGGGCTTGAAATGGAGCCCTAATCCATGGTTGGGCCTAAGGGCCACTACAAAACCCTAAACAAAGTCTCCTCTCTGAACAAAACCCCTAGCCGGAGCCGCCGGAGGAGATGAGATCTATGCGGAACTGAATCATCTCCTCCTAATGTGCATCTATATATTCCAAACCCCCATACCTCTCCTCTCATCCCCATCTTTCCTTCTCTTCTGTAAGTTCCTCTCTCTCTCTTTTACATGTTTGTTTTCTCTTTAGTAGTTTTATGGGGTGCGGTGAGGATGCAATTTATGTGGACTAGAGTTTCTGATCTTCCGGTTGAAGACAAACCCTTGGCTGTCTGAGCACACCCAACCTTCATCTCCTTCTTTCTTCATTTCTATAATCATATATCTTCTTTCTGGCAATTGTTTTTTTTTTTTTTATAAACAAATCTAGTTTGATTTGGGCTTATGATGATAATACAAAATATCTTAGCGGATTTCAGTGAGATAATTCATCAATGATCTCATTGTTACACACACTGAAGCCCCCCTCTTGTTTTCAACAATAAGGATAACATTTTTTTGATTTTTTTTTCTTGAAACTTGGTTTGAATATGTTTGATTTGTAAAAAGAATTGATTTTTTTGAATGCTGTGATGAGATGAACACCTTTGGTGTTTTGGGCAGTGGGAAAAAGTTGGATTTTTAATCCTTCTCCGTGAGCCCTCTAATTAACGACTTCTCCTTCCACTGAGCATTATGAGTTACGATTGAAACTATCAAATTATTTCAATTTTTTAAAAATGAGATTTGGAAAATTTTAAATTTTAAAGTCTTATTTTTGTGTATTTGTGTTTGTTTTATGTGTATATATGCGTCTATTACCAATTATTAAGAGTTCCTCTTGGACTATTTCACTGTGCTATTTCTTTTAACCAAAAAACAAAATCAGGTAAGTTCAATTCAACAAAATACTAAACCCGTACAAGAAAACATGAGTAAAAGACATTTTTGGTCCTAGACTTATAGTGGCTTGGACAATTTTAGTCCTTTATAAAAAAATTTGCCATTTTATGAACAGAGTTATTGTGGCGAGGACATTTTTGGTCTTCCGTCTATATTTTTGTTAGATAACCGTATAAGAGAGGGGTAATTACGTCAATTTAGGCTATCTTTTTATTGTGAGATGGACAATTTTGGTCCTACAACCATGCTTTTACTCTGACCCTCATTTATTTGTAGTTTTGCACTACGAAATGCTCTGCCCACAACCATGCCCCACAACCATGCCTTTACTGCAACTTGGACTCTTCGACTCCTTCGAATAATGACCGAACAAAACACACATAGATATAATAGATAGAAGGAGATAGCCTAAATTGACGTAATTATCCCTCTCTCAGACGGTTATCTAACAAAAAATATAGACGGAGGACCAAAAATGTCCTCGTCACAATAAATCTGTTCATAAAATGACAAATTTTTTTATAAAGGACTAAAATTGTTCACTATAAGTTTAGGATAAAAAATGTCTTTTACTCAGAAAACATTTAAAAAAAAATAATAATAACCCTTACAAAGAAATAAGAGACAATGGTGACATTAACTCATTGTACATGGATGGACCACGCCTACGTCAGTTATGCCTTTAGACGATGGATCTTAATTCCTAGAAAGTTTTCGACAATTAAGATCATAGTATCATACATTTCATCAAATAAGAGAAGTGGCTTTCTGTCACCATATATAATATATAATGGTCCATACACAGAGAGAACGAAAACTCAGAACCCCTTCCATGCACATCAGATCACATGCAGCAATTTATTTAGATGATACTGTCTTTTCTTCTTCTTGTTTTGGCCACAAAACTAAAAGATTTTTTTTTTTTTTTTTTTTTTTTTTTTGGCTTTGTTTTCCCTTCAAAACAATGAAATACATAGCTTGCTCTGTTTCTTGGGTTGGTTTGCTCCGTTCATAATATATCAATCACATCCATTTCACAAAATTTTTGCAAACACAACCTAAACATATAGCTCACCAAAACTAACACAGTATATGCACATCACTACCCCACATAATGTATTCACCGCAAGCAAGTGTACACAATTGTACAACTTTACGTAAGTAGTGGACCCTAAATCCCTAAACCTCTAAACCCTAACCCTATTGTTGGGAAATTGGTCAGAATATGTCGTAGATCTAAGCTACTGTTTATATAGGCTGAGTATAGAAGAAATCCTAAATCAATCGGTGACGTGCGCAAGACACTACCTTAAAAGCAAATATTGCCTGGAGACGGTAACAGTCTTACCGGTTGCTTTCGACCAGTTAACACCGAAACTCAAGATTGCAAAAGAGAAGAAGAGAAGAATGTATTGAGCGTTTAGAGCTCAGGGAGGAGCAGGGTATTTATAGCTATAGAATTACCTGCTCCTCTCTTAGCCATTAAATTTCCACTAAAATAGGACCACATTTGTAGGAGTTAAACCTCACTCCACAATTTATTGTGGATGGAAATAATTCACACTTATTTGGGTGTTATTCCCAACATCCCCCACACACTCAACAAGTGTGAATGCAGTCGATGTCTGAGCGGAAGTGAGCGCTGACCTTAATGCCAGTGGTTTAAACCTTGAACTGACACGTAGTGACTTGAGTAACTTTCTCCTTAAGTGAATTGAATCTTGAACTAGCAAAGGAGAGGTAGTTTTGAACTCATGTGCACACATCAGCACCCATTATGCAGATTCTTCGGAAGTCAAACTCTTTGACTTGTGGTCTACCTCTGTGTAGACCCTAGCTTAGAACATCTCATGTTCAGTTGCTTTATGAGTACGTAAGCTTGGCCTACTTTGTTGATTTTAAGCTCATTTCCTTCGACGTATCGAGGACGGCCTTTCTATTTAGTCCTTTAGCGAGAGGATCTGCAATTCTTCTCGGGCTCCATATACTCTAATGTGAGTGCTCCAGTCGTAATCAACTGTCTTACAGACTCATGTATGACCGTAATGTGCCTTCTTTGTGAGTTACAGTGTATGGGCATAGACGGTGTAGCACACTCCCACCATGGCACGTCTGCCAGTAGGTCTCTCAGCCACTCGGCTTTTTGCCCAACTAGATCAAGAGGTATAAATTCATTCTCCATTGTTGATCTAGCTTATACAAGTCTGTTATATCTATCTTAATATAGACTTCCACCATGTCTAAGTCTATTTCACCAGACTTTTAACTCTGACAAGTCTAATCACATTATAGTTTTTTATGTCTTGTCAAGTCCATCTCAATATAGACTTTTAACTCTATCAAGTCTATCTCAGTATAGACCACCTTTAAAGGCTTATAGAGTAGTTAAGTACATAAATCAGTTGTAACTCTTTTCTTTCTATCATAGGCATTGTTCTTTACAATGTAAACTACAGTTTGTGAATCACAATGTATATGTAGTGAAGGTGTTAGCTAGACACCCCCAAAACTCGCCGTTTATCAACATATTTCTTAGCCACTCAGCTTCTTGGGATAATCCCATTATCTTTCTTAAGAGGCGGTTAGCCCTTTTCTACTCAAGTTAGGGATCTCTTTAGGTTTACCTCAACATAGACCATCCCAATTGAGTATAAGTCACCAAGAGCACTTTGTACTCATGTCATTATGCGGTGAATTCATTAGGTTTGTCTCAACAAAACCACCCTTTCTCAAAGAGTTATGAATTCATTAAGAGTTGTAGCTCAACCTCACAAGTACACACACTGTCGGAATGACCAACTAGTGTACTATTTTGTAACTCTTTTCATGGCTTCGCTTGACCACAGAAGTGGGATCCACCACGAATTCATTACCACTTGGACTTTAAGTCCTTCCAATGAGTCAGCGACTAATCCTCATAATTAGCCCTCAAGTAAGCTGATTCTCTTGACCAAACTTACATGCACTTTGACGAGTACATTGTTTACTCGTAAATAATCCCTTGATATTTTCATGTTGAACATGAAACATTCTCTTTCATCATTATTCTCAATACCACAAAGAAACTTCTGATGAGAATATAAGGAGTTTATTACCCCCACAATGCAACACTTACAAATATTTGTTGTCAAATGTATTTGATCTCTTACCCAGACTGATCTTTGGTGCCCAACATTAGCTCCTTTGTAGACTGAGTTTTGCCGATTTGCTTTGTGGAGCATTATAGAAGCTTCGCACTCTGCCTGATACATGCTCAACAGTTGAATATATTTCAACAAACTTGGTTATCTCAATTGATCACAATTACCCTTTAATTAGGAATTATAGGTATTTCAATATGACTCAAGCAAGAGTTTAAATAATATATATACAAACGCTCATTGTTAGTAAGCCATAGAAATAATGTTGTCTACATGCTACATCAAGTTGAACAACATAATCACAAATTTCACATCATATTCTTATAAGAAATTAATGTTATACACAAGGAATATGTTCGAACTCATATTTATTCGGAAATATCTCTCAACAATGAGACTTCAGAGTTGCCACTTGCACAATTTTCCATTCCCTTGAGAAAATTAAAACTCATATAAAGCCTTCATAAGATGCAGATCAATATTACTATTGCAGTACTTCAACAATTTCTATTGCAAAGCTTTGATTAACAACATATGAGAGTCAACCTCATTTCAGGTGAAGATCAAGTGGCGCTCTAACTAGCCTGCATGATCAACACCATACTTCTTAAATCTCCCAGGTCGAGTGGTAAAACCGAAGTTTTCTTAAAAACCATCTTCCTAGACAGAGTATTCAAGAACAATGACTTTTCCATGCTACCACCATAAATGTGAGTAAAGCCTTTGAAATTAAACTCAGTACACAATTTAAATATTTAAGATTATGTGACTGTAATATAGTATGTATCTCATCAAATAGTGCAATGTTTGTAACATATCCACAATAATAACACATAATGTTGTAAATTGACATGTGCATAAGTACACAATTTATAGACTTTATATCATATTGATGATTTAATCACTTAGCAGTAGTGTTAAATCATCACGTCTAACACAACAAATTCATAAAGCTCATACATGTGAATAATAACAATTCACTTATCTTCGTGTACACCGCTGTTAATTTTCTATATAATATTCAAAGCACTCACTATACAAAATATGGAATGGTGATTTCTAAAATGCTTGTCACAATATATATTTCACGTTTAACATGCTCTCAAAAGATAATAATCGATTGAATGCAAAGATATAGGCAAACCATCTTCTAAATTATGTCATTATGATAATTTTAAGGGACATGGTCAATGCCAATAATATATGACTACTAATGCTCAAGACAATCATTTGCATATGATAGTCTATTATCATATAAG